ACATGTGAAATCAGAATGCACACTGTAATGGCTGAAGTCCATGTAGAGGCGACTGTAACAGCCCCACACACCTGACCAGTGCCTCGTGTGAACAGGCTCGACAAACTGTCAAATTCCTGAAAGTTGCAAAAATTATTTTAGACACTGTCACACCGAATTTAAAAAATGGGAAGGTGGAAGGCTTTTCACAAGCTGTTGAGCCAACTGACAAGCATTTCATTGCAGTTTATTCCTGTCCTGCCATTCTGTAAAACTGAAATGTATGGGAGGCTATGAACACAATTTAGAACTCCATAGTTTTTTTTTTTCTTTATTAACGTTGACATTTTCATCCTGAAATAACTGTTGTTGTTGTTATAAAACAGTCAAATGGGATGGAATCAACTGGTGACATTTGATTAATGACCGTCGGAGTAAAGTGTTTAATTTAGCTCAAGCTGTGAATTGGCAAATGAGGTAGAAAATGTAAATTGTGGATGATGGAAACAACTGCACGATGTGGCAAATGACAAGAACAATCTACTCACAAGAACCGGCTAAAAGTCTAGAACAGAGACTCCTGCCGTTTCTAATCACAGGAGCTAACAGTCAAGTTAAAAAAAAAAGTGACAAACAGCAAACTTTTCAGATAAAAACCTATGTGTGTGTGTGTGTGTGTCAGTGACTCATCACCGTCACGCTCATCACCGTGTCTCGTTAAGTCAACATCATGATGGTGCATTAAAATCACTTCACCATTACCTCAAGGGCGACTTGCTCCGGCATGAGTCCATCTGCCTGTCTGACTTATGGACCTCAAACGGCGCTGACACATTTTCTGACACATTTCAAGTCTTGACTGTCTCTGCCATCTCTCCCCCTCACTGTCCTGGGTGTTCCAGCCTTATCAGGAGGAAATGCCACAGGTGTCTGGCAAACCTTTACACTTCTAATCTAAGCCACTCTACGAGGTGTTCAGCACAGTTGAACTGACACTGTTCTCGCACACTTTAAATTAGATCAATATGGTGCCTTTGCCTACAAAAGTTTAAGTTCTTGAAATGTAATTACACCGTTTGTTGTTGTTCTAATGGCCTCGTCGCGTTGGCAGCCGAGCTGCTCAGTCTGGATATAAGGATAATATTAGGTGTAAACACAGAAAATTACAGTAATGCCGCAGAGCAAGTCAGAGTCACTGACATAGTATTAATCAATGGGTGGGTGATTTTATTTTTCCTGCACACAAACATTTAGATATTAGTATTAAAAAAACAGAGCTTTTAACCACTTCTATTCTGTTACCTTTAAGTAATGAACTGAGCTGCTGGAACATTGTGTGAAATTGACACAGCATAATGGCTGCCACATTAATGCCTGCACTATGAATTGACCATAAATAAACAGTGATGGAGTCACATTTCCACAAGGCTCGAGAGTTAAAGTACTGAGGGAGAAAATAAATAAAAAGGGAGGCGTGAGGGAGAGAAAATCACTGAGCAAATTCACATGGCACTTCTCGGAACAACAAGAAGAAAATTATTATAGGCAGAGAAGTAATAAATACAGTGGTGATGGCAGCAAAATGGAGCAAGAAAAAGTAAAAATAATAGAATTCCCTGAATCGTGCCGCACACATCATTAGCCCTATCAGCTACCAGCCAAAAAAGGTCAGGTTTAAGCACTGATGTTTTTTTATGTGACCTGCTGTCCTTTAAATAACCTGATGCGTCTCTGGAATATAGTCATTTCCTCACCTCTGTACTAGCTCCTTGGTGACAACTGCAGTTAATTATGTTATTTTCCTTCTTTCAGGAAGCTCAGCACCAGCACATGCTGCTTTTATGTGACTTTGTTCCAGCTGCTTTAGAATTTGAAAATGTAAAAAAAAAAAACTAAATCAAAAGCTTCAGTTTTAAATCCAAAGTCACAGCGACATGTAGACCAACAGTCGCAAATAAACGTTCAGATATGTTGTTGGACAACAACTAGCACAACCAATGGAGTAACTTGAAGAATTTCTACATTATTGTCATTTGTAGGTAATTTAAATGCTAAAAGGTTCGGAGTCCTCCGTGTCACTCAGAAATCAGATACTGAATAATCCACAAGCCACTTGTTTTGTGACCAGCTTTCGCTGCATCTTTCTGAACTCATTCACTCACAACAGCCTCCAGGTTCGTCAACAGGCCTTAAAAAGGCAGGTGATGGATTCATATCTCAAACAATAGCTGGAGGGGAACAGACAGGGGCATGTGTGGCTCACTTCTCCATCAGTAACTAGGTCAAGGTTGACGTGCCCTTGGGTTGAGTGCACACAAACTGCTCTGGTCATAAATACAAGCTGTTAGGTGTGGCAGCATGTTTCCCCGTAATTGGTCAGCAGTTACTTAGTCATCTGTGTTGCAGAGCGGCTGCAGTGACGAGGGAAGCTAATAGGTTCAAAACTGGGTTTTCCCACGTAAACAGGTGACATTTTCTGCAGACACGTTTGCACCACGTCATAAGTCTTGATTGCATCTGGAAATGCAACTGTTGTGTTGCATTTCCAGATGTTTCCCTGCTCATTTTCAGTAATAGAAATGGCACATATTTACAGTGTGATACAAACATAATCCACACGTCACTCCTCAGCTGCACCAGCTGTTTTTGTTTTGTTTTTTTCTCTTTAGGCCAGCGGTGGATATAAATATCATTAAATTGAAAGATAAGTGGATGTGCAGATTTCCAGAAAGAAGGACAAGAGGAAAACAAACAAGAGTCTGGATAGCAACAAGATTTAACAAGGCTCAGAGTGCAGCTGTGTGTGGAACTCTACACTAAAAGCAGACAGGTAAGAAACGACTGTGTGAAACAGTAAATGAGCGGAGAGCACAGCTGCTAGATGAACCAAAAAGTCCAAAGTAGCTTTAATAAAGACTAACAACACAGAGAAAAGGATGAAGTTGGGGCCTTGGTGATAATACACAGCTATAACTACATGTTTTTGTGATTCATGGCCAGAGCCCAGGCAGAGTAAGAGACATAAATATTCAACAGAGTGAGAAATTAACTGCACACTGTAACAGGAAGACTGCATTTTAAAAACACAACGCCACAGACTGTAATCAGTCACAATCAGCACTCACAGCAACTGATTTCTTCTGTTTACAGAGGCACTGATTGGCTCAATTAAAATGTTTGAGTTACCAGGAACAACGCTTGATTTCAAAATTCAAAATATCTTTTCTAGCAGCCTTCTCCGGTAACAACTTCATTAGTGGTTGCCACAGTTGTAGTTCACGTCACAGTTTGCTGCAGTAATAACTTAGATGCCTTTCCTGGCAAAGGTAAGGATTACCACAAAGAATAAATGGAACTATCCTCATATAAATCACTTATTAAACCCATTTTAATGGCCCAGAGAACTATTTTCAGCCAATATTTTCCAAACCAAAAACATAGCATAATTGGTAAATGTTTCATGGCCAAATTCTCCTGTGGGATCAACTGTCTTGCTGCTGATGATGTGGACAACCTTGTCTCGGAGAAACCCAGAGGTACAGAGACGTAGAGCTGTGGAGATGGTGTCTCTGTCTCTAAAGGCAGAACGAGACAGTTGTAAATGTAAACCAAATGTCACAAATGTTTTTAAAAACCCCACGGTGCCCTGAAATCCAGCACGGCTAAGAGACGGCTCAAAGCTCTTATCTACAAATGCAGATATCTCGGCATTATAACCTCGACGTTTTTCAAATTCTGGGCATCTCTCTCCTTATGAACATCACTGCTCTCAATGGGTTCAGGAGGACAGCAGAGCAAGAGCAGCAACAGTCAAGTGAGATGCAGCTATTAAGTGCGGGGTAACTGAATTGAGGCTTCAGGCTCAGGCTTCCATTCTTACAGCTAATTTAAAGTAAGTATGCTCTCTCGCTCTCTCTCTCACCCTCTCTCACGCACTCACTCTCATTTCAGATTTAAAGCATGTGCAGGGAATATCTGCTGGGGATGATGCAAAGTGTATGGTAAAGCGGTCTTCTTCCCAGTACCAATAGTTCAACTAACACACAGCAGGACTGTTACTCCTTATTTAGGGTAGAATACCAGCCTAAACATGGGGTAAAAAGTTCAACTATCTAGGTCAGAATCATATTTTAGTAAGTCATAGACTAATGCATGCTCCAGCAGAGGGTGCTATTGGCACAGACTAACTCCACATCATTGTTTGCCCCATCCATAAAAGAAGCCCCTATTCCTCCAACAAGCTAACGGTCCACATGACCAGACAATTATAGCACCTACAACAAAAGCACCAATTTCTAGTGAGCTTGAGAATCACAATTAGGCGATTCATGGTCAAAGTAGTGTTCTGAGATGTTAGCAAGAAAGCTGAGCAGGCCTCCTGATACTCTACCTGACAACTGCAACACAGAATATTTTAGGAGCTCTACTGAACTAGAAATATATGTTTTTTAGTTGTTAGAAGCAGACATTATGATTTCATAAATAGCACACAAAAACACTTAGAACACTTACCTGCTGACCTGAGCAGACTCGGTAATTGCTTTTTTAAAAACATGTCTAAAACAGTTAGTTTACAGTAAATGTCAAAATTGTCATAAAGGAAATTCTAAAAAAAAACAAACGAAAAAAAAAAACAATCAGACATTGCAATAAGAGCAAGAAGTTGTTTTGTTTTTTTAGATACTGTAAATGTTTTATACTTTTTAGAAGAAATACACCACGGGTTTCAGAAAACGGCGTGGGTGGAAGTGATTCATAATAAACTATACTTCTTGTATTTGTGGTAATAAGGGGGAATGGAATCAGTGGAGAGCAGTTCATTGTTTTTTTATATAATAAAAGGATTCTTGGGAACGCAGATAATTTCTGTGATTATTTGATTTTAAAAAGGCTTTTTGTGACTAGAGAAGAAATAAAAGAATAGGGTTGGATCAATCCCCATAAATCCCTCGAGAGGTTGCCGCCCGGCACGCGCTCAGCAAGCAAGCATACAAGAACATCAAGAATGTCTTTTTTCTTACTTTAGACAGATCCCCAACCTCCAGGTAAAAACAGATGATAAAAACATTCCAGGTCATCCACGCCACGAGCCAGGCTGCGTACTGCCAGGAGACACAGAGATAAAGAGAGACAGATAAAGGAAAGTAAGAGGCAGACAAGGTTTGACAGGCGTTTGCCTGATTATAAAAGCATGTTCGAGTTGTGCATTCAGAGACGGAGGAAGAAGATAGAGGGAGGCTTCACTTCTGATGATGTTAGGATGCAGAAAAGACAAAAAACAATGGTGAAGATAGCAAACAATCACCTGAATCGAAGCAGACAGGAGGAGAAAATGGATTGTAGAAGTAAAAGTGTGTGTGCAGAGGGAGAGAACAGGAAGGAATGAATGAAAGCGGAATTGATTTGATTAATTTTTTATTGCTTGCAATTAAGTGGATCCTCTCTCTCTTACTTTTCGGTCTGTGGCTGTGTGTGCATGTGTGTGTGTGTGTGCGCATGCGTGTGTGTATAAGTAGGTCTTTAGCAGGAGTCAGTGGGCAATGTCAGGCCCTGCAGGCACAATGAAAACCCCCAAATGTGTTGTGACACCAAAATCATTTTATCGACAGTAGCCGTGGGGACGAAAGACTTTCCTATAAATCACAGCTTTAGCTTTTTGATTTTCTATAAGGATATGTCTACAATGTTTACAAAGATCTAGCGACATGTGAAATACGTTGCTGTTCAGCCTACAGTACATGTATGAGTATATATATATATATATATATGTGTGTGTGTGTGTGTGTCCTTGCATGGGCATGTGTGTTCTTATATTAACTTACCCCTGTGACGTATCTAGGCCTGAACTGAATTGTGCCAAAAAGGCCCAAGATAACGACGATGACGTGGATGAAGTTGGTCAAAATGGGAGCCCACTGATATCCCAGGAAATCAAGCACCTGACGCTCCAATATACTGACCTGGAAAGAGACAGGGGAAAACATTTAGGGCATTTAAAATGAGTTTTTAACTTTGATAACAACACTTGAAGCTAACGATACACAGAGTTAAAATCATCGAATGGATGCAGTTCAATCTAAGCCACAGAAGGGACATGATTATTTTCTCACATTTTCTCAGTCTTTTCATACCAGGAGTGTAATCCTTTACTTAAAAGTGCTACAGTAACAATAGCAAACATATTAAAGGTCAGACAATAAATTGCTATAGCATTGCATCATGATATCTAAAGGTTAAAGCAGAAACTGCCACAATGGCAAAAAATACCCATCTGAATTAAAGAGATTAAAAAATAAGTAAATATTAATTAAATCAGAAATAAACAAAAGTTAGCAATATAGAAATAAAACCACAACAATGCACTTTAGAGATGCACACAAAAACAAATATTGAATAATCCTTCTATTGGGTCCATACACAGATATACAAGCCAAAAAAAAAAGATATGCACAAATCAAAAATCAGTCAACTTGTTAATTCTATCTTATCTAAATCTAAGGAGTTAATTATCAGATGAGCGAGCAATTGATTAATAGTTGAGTAATTGGCTAATCACCGCATGCCTAAATGAGCCAAATTTACAATTCATAGCAAAACTAATTAGTCACTGAGTTAGAGAGGGTGTATTTACAATTTGCTCCCTAATCGTGATGGAAATAAAATCTAATCAGTTATCCATGCGTTTGTGTCAGGATCCCAGGGCTCTCACACTCTCAGCCTCCCCTTTATATTTCACTCTCCCTGTGAGTGTGTGAGATATTATTATCATTCAGGCTCCAGCACTTCATGCTGAGATAGTTAATGAAGTCAGCACCGCGTATGATACAACACGGCTAAATATATTAACACTAAAGCTGACCCCAATAGTGTGAAGCCTTGGACCACAGCTATCGTACTCCTGTGTGAGGAAAGACAGAGCAACAGTTTTCCATTTGGAATAAAGGGCTTTACTTTCTTTTTGCCATACTTTGTATTTCTCTTCCTACACACACACACACCTACACACATGCACAGTCAATAGCTGACTTTAATGTGCGACCATATGGCAACACTACGGCACAACAAAAAGCCACGCACACACATAAAAACACACATACACATACAATGTATCACCCTATAGGAAACGAGTCGGCGTGTATGACATTTACATGAAAAGTGTCTCACGTGAAGGCTGTGAAGTACCGACGCATGTGCATTTGCCCCCCCACCCCCCGCCTGTGTGTTCGTGTGTTAGTTTGCCCGTGTCAGGGCAGGTCTGCTGTGCTTGCACTTGACAGCACCTGCTGTTACTGGAGACACTGGTCCCAGCTGGCAACACAATGTGGGTGTGAGAGTGTGTGTGATTGAGACACAGACGTTGTGTTGCTTTGTCTTTGATGAGCTCCGTCTCTGAATGTGCCTGCGTGTGTGTTTCTTTTGTCTCCCTCAGTTTATTATGTAAAACGTGTCCTCCCATTGGTAATTATATGGTGCTTCAGCGCTGCCTCCCTCACAAACACACAGACCAGCACAGGCCATTATAAGAAGTCAGGGGCCTCCCAGTCCATTACTGGGGCCCTTTGGGGGCCCTTTTCCATCACCAATAATATAAACAGTCTTCACTCCAGCTGGGACACACACACACTCACACACACGCTCCCCAAATAATGCACAATAAATCACACAAACATAAGCGGGGCCACAATTTGTTTGTACGTCAATGGCGACAACCATATTTATCTCTCTCGGTTATTACACAACAGAACCCTAATGGTCAGTCAGCGGTACTGACACACACTTTAAGGTCTTCTGCTCCAGATGAATATGGAGCCAAGCCAGTAAACAATATTCAGCACAAGACCATTTGTACCTTCACACTACATTATCATGCCAGGTGAAGTTCTCAACTCACTGGGCAACGGAAAAACCTCCAACCTCATCTGCATCTGTACATCCATCCATTATAGGTACATCACTGAGTTCACCTGATGAGAACCATAATGCTTCCTCTGATAGGACAGAACCTTAGAATCAGCGGTTAAACAGCTCTGACCCTTTGGTGGAGAAACATGCTCCACTGGTGCACAGACTAGCATCAGCCACGTTAGCAGACATGGCAGTTGTGTGATATCTGCCGCTGATGACAGATTCATCGTCGTGCAGGTGCAGTTTCAGCCTGGCTACTGTGGTCTCCTGGGATTTGCTGCTGCAGGCTTTGATGCTCCTGACAGCCCTGCTCATTTCATTTCCTCTGCTTAAAGCACTGCGGCGGAGGCATGTTCACGCTCGGCTTTTCTGTCTTTACGTCTGTGGTGGTGCGCTGTGCAGCCACCAGTAGACAGAAAACTTATTAGTTATCATGTGTTTTGTTCTGCAAGGAAATATGTTATGAAAGCTGTGTCTCATGTGCCTCAAGAAGACGTCAACATCTTTTAGTCTGATTGATCCAAAGCTAATATTGCAGAAATGACAAAGGATTAGCTTTACTTTTTACTGCATATTTCTTGCACACTGTGAAGAGGAGAATCAAACATCCAGGACCACAAATCATTACGTTGCTCTGGTCTACAGCAGGATGAGCCAAAAAGTACACAGCACTTTTCGATGCAGTATAATTTGTCCCCCCAAAAATTCAACACTTTGACAACTAAGGGTTTTTGGAAAAAAACAACTACAGGTGTCAGTTCATAAATATTTTTTTTATATTTGTCGGTGAAAACCTGCACTGCGACCCTTTGCTTGACAGATAAAGTAATACAAACATAATAGAATGACACATTTACATTTTATAGCCTTTTTGGAAGAAAACAGATTATTCCAGGAAAGGGAAAATACTCGGTTTTGACACAAATGTTTTAAAAGGAGCTAAGCAGGCAAATGGCATCCTGTGGTTGTGTGTGTGTATGTATAGGTGTATGAAAACAAGTTTAAGCCTCCTGTCAATCAACAGCCAGTACAGTATTCCTTAGGGAAACACAGGCATGTGTATTCTTTCCTGTGCTTTGTTAGCATGGACTGATGCTGGTGCTCCTGTTAGCATGGATTTCAGAAATGCGGCACTTAGCCGAGGGACTGACTTTGGAGCTACAGTGCATCCATCACTGTCATGTTGCCCATTCTCACAGCCAACCCCCCAAATTATATTTAGTTTATTTTTGTAGCCTGCTAAGAAAACTGTCAGGGTCCAAAATGAACGGTAATCCAATTCTACTTATATATTGATCTTTCTTTACCACAGCTTTGTCTTTATCTCTGGAGAAACTGTTGTTTGAATCAATCAAATCAAATGCAAAAACAGAAAAAAAACAACCTTTCTTTACTGTTGCTAAAGAATGAAACTTGAAAAAATATGTAAAAAAAACACTCCGTCTCTGACACAGAAAATATATTGAAGAGAGAAAGTTGAAAAGATAGAACTATTTGAAATCTCAGAGAGAATTCCATCTATTTGATAATGAAATGAAAGAATGATATGATTACAGAATAATTCCAGAAGGACAGCTGCACCGTGTGACTATTATGAGACGCAGCGGCAGAACGATAAATGTGTCCTTTTTATCTCAGACACATGACGAGGACAGAGAAGTGGGAGGAAAAAAGATGGTGAGAGACAAACCAAGGCTGCCTGGAGATATCTGATGAGAGCGACCGAAGACATGGAGAGGTGATTAAGATCTGACTGTTACCAAGGAAGGAGAAGAAGATGACAAGTCCAGAAGTGACAGAAGTGTCTTATCAACTGCCAGTCTGTCTCTCAACGCCTACGTCGTTACCTTCTCTCCCCTCACGCCCACTCTCTTCTCACTCTGCTAATCTTGTCTGACCTTCTTATTGTCTCCTGTACATCCTTCATCTTCCACTCCTCATTGTCAGCGCTCCGTCTTTGTGCTCTCATTCATTCCCAATAATAACACACCTTCCCTCTTCAGTAGAAATACAAACACTACAAACTGCACAGTTAGGAAACAAGTTAAAAAGAACACCAGGATGTTTCACTGCAGAAGTTTTGACAGAACACACGGATCCAATAATGTGCTTGTTTTGACTGGTGAACATTAGCCAAATACATATGTAAAAAAAAAAAAAAAAATCACACTAGGTCAGGTTCCATACAGTTATAGCCAAGTTCTACACAGGAGTTAACAAAGGATCACTGAAAAGATAAAGGTCAAATCACAACACCTAGAACTTGACCTCCAAACAAACTTGATGAAAAAGTAAAAAAAAAGAAAGAAAGAGAAACTGCAACAACACCTAATGCAATGTCCAGACAACACTGATATCACATGAATGGCGCTAACATTTCACATATTGTTTCAATGACCTTGTCAGCGACTAGTCCTTAGTCCGGTAAAACAACCTGAAGCATGCATTAACACAGGAGATGCTTTATAATCTGAGTCATTTGGAAAGCTTTGTGAGAGTGAGTGGGCACAAACTACCAAGTCGAGATGCACCATACTGACAGACTCCGACCCAGAAAGACTGAGAGCTGTAACAAAACAAAAATAGAAGAGAAATAAGAAAAGCGTTTTGCATTTTTACAGGGGTGTGGAGACACTGTCTGTAGCCACTGTATTTGGTATGAACTGCTACACATCTCACTTCCATTGCTCCGTTTCTCAGCGGGCCGCTCATAATGATCTTCTCCATGCCCATCATTTGCACCATCTCCATCATTCACCATCAGCTGTAAGCCTTTGTGACATTCCCTTAGTCTATATCTTCTTCGCCTCTCTCCATTCTAAGTCTCATCCTTTCCTCCCTCACCCTCTCCATGCTATGGCTGAGAGTTTTCTCCTGGTGGTGTGACCTTTAAAAAACTGCTGATCAATTCTGTTGCTCATCCCATTATAGACGACAGAAAGGGAGGGATGGGGAGGGAGCCGAGGTTAGACGGGGCGAGGGAGACGGTTAGTGAGCAGAGGCTGAAGGAAGACGTGGCAGAAGGGTGGAGATGTAAACAAGCGGCAACGGAGGG